TTAAAAAAATATGTATTTTAAGTATCTTTTTACCTACAGGTTTTCTTTCCATTTTTTCCTTCGGTGCAAATTACTTTCTTTTTTAAAGAAAGGAGCATTGTGTGTTTTTTTTTATTGTTTCATGATTACTTTGCCAAAATTTCAACTTCCTTTTTATATTCACTTGGGTGTGCCTTTTTTCTTCTTCACAGTTTTATTTCAAGGGCAGAACTTAAATATCAGCAACACTGTTTTATTCAATTTGCAATATCTTGTGAATGCTCTATTATGTTGCTTATACTATCTTGTTGTTTTGTTCCATAGCCATATTTTGCTAATGCTATCCAAGAGGTAGAATATATATATATATATGTGTGTATATATATATATATATATATATATATATATATATATATATTCTGTATTTTGTATAAAATTGATATATTGATATTTTGGGGGCTTGATCAGGTCAGGTTGCAATTTCTTTTCTTTTTTTCCTGACAAGACTATTCACAGATAGTGGTGCATCCTTCTTCCATCAGAAAGTAATCGCTATCTGGTGGGTCCTTTTTGTGATGTTAGTGATATTGGTACTCAGTGTAGAACAGTGTTTCTCAAAAGTCATCTTCATTTCACCCCATCCCCAGATCCTTTTAGACATTATTTTTCTAATCTTCCCCTTCCCTTTATGAAATTGTCTTTTCCCAAACTTGAAGAGCCATAATTTCTTTAAATATACAGGGGTGGGCAATAGTACATTTACAGTTGTTCACGTGGAAAAAATGCATGCAGGATATGATTATTATAATAGCTTTATTAACTCGAAAGAATAAAATGTTTCATGTACTCACTTCTTTTCCCACCCTTGCATTTCAGTACCATACTCTCCTTTTTTTCTGGAACTCTGATTATATAAGTGCCAGATCTTTATTTGTGGTCTTTTATTCCTGAAGTTATGGGGTGTTTTCTCTCTGTTGAGTTTTCTCTTTGTTGCTCAATTGGATGAGTTCTACTGAGGCAGCCTCCAGTCGCTCTTTCCACTTTCTTTTTTTTAAAAAATATATTTTATTGATTTTTCACAGAGAGGAAGAGAGAGGGATAGAAAGTTAGAAACATAGGTGAGAAAGAATCATCGATCAACTGCCTCTTGCACACCCCCCACTGGGGATGTGCCCGCAACTAAGGTACATGCCCTTGCCCGGACCTTTCAGTCCGCAGGCCGATGCTCTATCCACTGAGCCAAACCGGTCCCAGCTCTTTCCACTTTCATCTCCATCCTGTCATTGAGTCTTTGCAGACAGTTTTCTATTACAAACTTATTTTATTTTCCAGATATAAAGTTTCCAGTTGGTTCTTACTTATAGCTCTATTATGTTGCTTATACTTTCTATTATAACTTCTGTTTCAAGATTTTTAGAGATCACTTGTTCAAGTATTTTTAAATAGCTGCTTAAAATCCTTTCCAGATAATTTCAACATGTGTGTCATCTATTGATAACTTTCATGTGAGTTGAGATTTTTATGCCTCTTCGTACATTGAATAACTGTGTGTTTGATCCTGGATATTTTGACTGTTACCCTTTGAGCCCCTGTGTCTTGTTCCAGTCCTATGAAGGACGTTGGTATTTTTGCCTTAGTACAAACTTGAGTTGGTTAGGTTGGGCAGCAAGTTACAACCCACCTTCTTTGGGCTGTGTTTTCAAAGCATTTCACTTTGGAAAGTGTTTGCATGCTTTATTTTTACTTAATTTTGACAATTTTAATAAAAATTCAACAAAGTAGGTATTATATTATGATACTCGTAGGTAGGTTTCGATTCAGCCTATCACTAGCTATATGGTATTGAACCTTGATTTTTCTCATCTGTAAAGTGGGATTGATAACACCTAGATCATTGGGTTGTTTGAGGACTGAATAAAATAACACAAGAAACATGCCTAGAATATTTCAAACCCTAAAGAAATCTTCGTTGGTTTTATTACAGAAATATAATACATCATCAGATACACATGTTTTAAGTTGCAGGATATACCGTGTAACTACCACATCAATCAAGATATTATAGAACATTTCCATTGCACCAGAAAGTTCCCCCATACTACTTTGAGGTCAACCCTCCATTCATCTTCCACCCCAGGCAACCCCTGTTCTAGCTTCAATCACACTAGATACGCTTTGTTTGCTCTAGAACTTTGTATTAATAAAATCATACAGACTGTACATTTTCTATTTTCACTCAGCATAAAATAATTTAGATTCTTCTATATCAGCAAACTGCACCCAAAGTAAAAAGCTAAGAAACAGGTAGTCACAATGTCACCCCTAATATTCAGGAATATGTTACTACCATGTACTCAACATATACTGAAAACCAACAGGATCTGCTTTATGTCAAGGGCCATCTATCTATGAATGGTGTCAAGCCAGATTACATTACACTCCAAAGCCTGACACAGTGCGTGTGTTATCTTGAGCAAGACAATTGTTTACTATTAAGCTTCGGTTTCTCTCTGTGGGTTGTTGCGAGGATGAATATGGAACAAGGTGAGAGAAAGCGCTATATACCAATGTGCAATGAAGGTATTTTGTCAACTCTAAAATATTATTAAATGGTATTTGGAAGGGTTGCGGAGAGGGACAATCTACTAGAGGTGCATTTAGGAGATTTGCGACTTGGGAAGTGAAAAAAATATATATATAAGAGTCTGCTTTCAGAATTGAGGAACCGCGGCATTGCATTGGCCTTCTTTGTCTGTTATGTCCACGAATGCTCCTTTCTTACATTTGAATTTCTCTCTTGCCTGGCCTTTCCTTTTACCAACCTCCTTCCTGACAGCTGTCAGAGTTTCCCTACCGGATTTGTGACCTCATTTTTCAGGCTCCCGCGGAGACCCGGGGAACGCCCCCCGCTGGCGTCGCTTTCCCACGCCTAACTTCCCTTCTGTGCTGTCATTGGCTGTTGCTGGTCCAGGACCCGCCCCCGATGACCTAAATGCTGATTGGATGCCAATGTCCAAAGGTGGAGCCTGGACCTAGGAGGGCAGACGATTGGGGCGCTGGGCGGCTCATGCGCATGCGTGGCTTCTGGAGTGGGGATTGGCGGGGCGGGGCGGGACTCCCGGCTCGGCGCAGGCTCTGTGGGCGGAGCGGGGCGGGGCTGCCGGTGCAATCGCTCCCAGCGTCGGGGCCTGTAGCATCCTCCAGGTATCTACCCCTCCCGGCGCCTGGATCGGCAGGTGAGGGCTCGTGGGCAGCAGAGGGCCTGGCCCGGGCGACTGGAGCTGTGGCCTCGGTCCCGCCGAGGACCCGGCGGCCGGGGCGGGCTGGACTGTGCCCGATGCACGGGCTCGGGAGGAGCGGCCTGGGGCCTGGGCGTCTGGTGGGCGGCTGGGACCTGGCTCCTTTGCAGAACCGCCGCGCAGCCTCTTTTTTCTCATCTTCTGATCGCTGGGCCCAGAGGTTCCTCCGGGCGTGGGGGCGCCCGCGGCCCCCAAAGGAACATCCTGCCGCCGCCCTGGAGCCCAGGCCGCTGTCCAGCATCCCCGCCCTCAAATGGGGCCGCGGGGGGGCGTGTGGGCGCGGGGGGACCTGGCGCGCCTGCACTTGGCCGCGGCTGCTCTGCCCAGCCCCGGAGGGGAGGTGGGGGGAGAAGAGGCCGAGGCGGGGAAAGGGGGGTAAATGAGCGGCACGGTGAGGGCTGGCGACATCTGTGCAGGCGTTGAAAAGTAGTTCCCGGTTAGCATCTTCCTGGGTGACCTGTTTTGGGGAGTTCTGTTAAAACCGAGAAAGGGGATACATTCCCGAAGAGCAGGGCTTTTGTTGTGCAGTGCATGAATCCCAGCACTGTGACGTAACGGTGTTAAGAACGTGCTAGGCCATGGTTCCAACCCCGTTTCTGCACCTGAGCTCCACAGCTCGCTCTCTCTAGTCTGTGCTGTACACACAATATGTACGATTGTATATACAATAAACATAGCCTTTTCCGTGGGATCTGCCTCCCGTTCAGATCCTTGTTTGGCCAAACAGTCCCTTAATTTGTGGATTTATATAACCAGAACAAGTCAGAACCTGAACGGACCCGAGCAAACATGTTCTACAGTTGGTGCAGCTTGAAGGGAATATAATTTATCTTTAGTTGCTTAGTAGAAATATCAAAGGAATTTGACATCAAGAGTTGCAAAATGTTTGGCAAACTTGAATTAAAGTCATATTAACGTGTCTTCCATTGCATAATGGGAAAGGGGGCTTTATAGTTAGACCTGGGTTCAAATAATTGGTACAGACGTTGGCTCAGAAATCTAAGGCAAGATGCATAGACTTTCTGAGATGTAGTGTCCACATCTGTAAATTCCAATGTTCTATTGATTTGATGCATTAAAATATGTGAAGCATTTACTATATTAATGCACAATGACATTATTTTAATAGTTTTTCCATAACTGCTAGCATTGATCATTATCTCTCCTCTTCCTCCCCTCATTGAGAGAGAGAGAGAGACAGAGAGAGAGAGAGAGGAACATTGATGTGAGAAACATCAATTGTTTTCCTCCTATAAGCACCCAGATCAGGGATGGAACAGAAACCTGGGGGTGTGTCCTGGTTGGGAACTGAACCTGTGACCCTTCAGTACATGGAACAACACTCTAACCATGAAGCAACACTGGCCAGGGCTGATCATCTTTAAAAAAAAAAAAATAGATGTACAGTTGTATTTTATTATGTATTGCTCTGATAACCAAGAAACTCAGCTCTTTCTCTTCTCTTTGTAAACTATTTGTACATAATCCTTTGCTTACTTAGCCATTGGGAAGACTTGGTACCTATAAATTGTGTTATACTTAATTATTATACACTTGATTAATAAAATGTACATATTATTAAACACACACACACACACACACACACACACACAAAGAAACAATAAAGCAAGTGAAAGGATCCCACTGGGTCGTATAATTTTCTTTTGAAAAACAAGCTTAAATTTCATTTCTCTGTGTTTATGTTTCTTTTTCTGATTGCAGACCAGTTGCCAAGGATTTTGTATCCAAGGTCCAAAAGTTTGTTACCCAAGATGATGAATGCTGACATGGATGGTATGTTCTTTATTTTCCTTTTGTATAATCCTGGTTTTCTGGGTGCTTTTGCTTTATTAAGTAATGGAAAGAACAGAGAAGAATATTTACAGTTTTGGATTTGGTTAATTTACTTATTTATATCCCTTCTAGTTCTGGGAAGGATTCAAGGCAGCTTCTGTTCCTTAACTGTGAGATATTGGCAAAACATTTTATCTTTACCGTGGTGTCTTCATCTATAGTGTGGGAATAGAACTTTTTGCTTCATATGTCTCTTGCATAAATCAAGTTAGATAATAAATATAAAACATTTTGCAGATCTTTAAGTGCTACCCACATAATGGTACCTAATGTTAATGGTAAATTTGAACCTTTTTATTACAGCAGTTGATGCTGAAAATCAGGTGGAACTGGAGGAAAAAACACGACTTATTAATCAAGTGTTGGAACTCCAACACACACTTGAAGGTTAGCTTGCATTTTGTAGTTTTCTTGAGTAATATAAATTAATTGAAATTGTAAGCCTTTGTGTTGTTAAATTTGGTTATTGTACAGTTTTAAAAAGTAGAAATTTTAAGCCCATTTCAATGGTCTCCCCCATCAGCTTCTCCCTGGGGCCTGTAGCGTTGACTGGTGATTTTAAAGAACAGATATGCTTCAATAAAGAAGTCAAATAGTGTCCTTAAGCTTCCCTCTTAAAGTCTAACATAATGCTACTTAGTACACGAGAGCTCCTTTTAATAAGGTAACATTGTGGTACTAAGTCTTACTTTTGTAATAAAAGGCAGTTTTAACTTCAGAGATTAAAAGGGAATTGATCTGAGTTTTTCATTTTCTAAATGTCTTACATAAAATTAATACTAACACTGAAACATCTTTTGGTTTTCAATTAAATTAAAAGGTTGAGTTTTGGAGTTCTTTGTGGTTGTGTGTGTGTGTGTGTGTGTTTTACCACCTGAGTGAACAGATCATGTCACTCTAGTGGCTTCCCCTGTCACGATTAATAAAAGCCAAGTTATTCTCTGGAAGTCTATTACTTCCTACCTTTCAGAGCCATGTCACACACAAGGCCTCTTACATTATACCCTAGATACTTTGCCCCTCATACCCCCCACTGTTCTGTATGCTTCCATTCGGGATCCTAGCAGTTGCTGTTCCCCTCTGCTTTTTCCCATAGTTATTTAGGCTCATTCTCTCACTTTAGGTTTGTGGTCAAATTACCTTGATCAAAATAGCTGTCCCTGACTATACTGTGTAAAAGGGCTACTTCCCTTTTGCTTTTGGTGACCTTTGCTCTTCTTGCTTTTTCTCCTGACCCCCACCAGGGTCCCCTAAATACACATTAAAACATAAGCTCTGTGAGGGCAAAGACCTTTCTTTTTTCTTACTGTTGCCTCTGGAACAGTGAGTGCCAGGCTTTAGCGGACACCCAGTACTTAATTGTTAAAGGAATGAATGTTAGTGATGTTTTATTTGATCGTCAAGAACTACATCTTTTGAATTTTTTGCTAATGTAAAAATACAAAATGTTCAATTGCTTGGAAACCAGCTTTCTGTACCCAATATATAAATTCAGTTATGTTCACCTACCACATTTTAAAAACTATTTTAGGTATTAGTCAACATAAATGCTGTTTACAAAGAATAACATTTAGTCTACTGTGAAATCTCATTTTAGGGATTTTGGCTATTTGCACTCTGTTTACTTTAACATCTCAAGTAATCTCATTTTTAAAATGGAAAATTTAAGGACTGTGTTCTCTCAAGAATGACTCGAGCATTTTATACAATGGAAACATTGCCATCATGTTATCGATAATGGGCTTTTTTATTTTTAATATAGACCTCTCTGCAAGGGTAGATGCCGTGAAGGAAGAAAATCTGAAGCTAAAATCAGAAAACCAAGTTCTTGGACAATATATAGAAAACCTCATGTCAGCTTCTAGTGTTTTTCAAACAACTGATACGAAAAGCAAAAGAAAGTAAGAGATCTATATCCTTTCTCTGTTACGGATTGCTGCTGATCTTTTTTTTTTTTTTTTTTTTTTAAAACTTGGATAGATTCCAGAAGTTATAGTACTTTTGTTTGTGGCTTCATTGAATATTTATGAAGATAATGTCAGATCTAGGCAAAATTAAGAGCATAACCGACTTCCATGAGTTTGTGTATTATGTTAGTCTATGAAAACATGAAAATGTAGAGACTTTATAATTAGAAATTCATATATTTATGAAACTTGATGTCTTATCAAATTTAGGTTCAGCACTGTCTTTGATTATATAGTAGGAGATACAAGAAAATAACCATGTTGTGAAAAGTGACCAAAATCATGTACTGAATGCACAGTTTTATGTACGCCGTCTACCATCTTGTGCCTCTTCTTCATTTGCTTCTTCTTTCCCATTTCCCTTATCCTGAAGGAAAAGCTGGTTTCACATTTGTAAGAGCAATCTTAGTAGTTAGTCATTGATGAGAGTAACCTGAACAGTATTGTTGAAACTTAACCAAAAGTTAGGGGTTGTTAGTTATTATACAGCCACCCTCCCACATAATTGATGTTTCAGTCCATGGCAGACTGAAGATACAACAGGTAGAATACTGTGTAGCCTAGGTGTGTGTAGTGGGCTGGATCATCTAGGTTTGTGTAAGTGCACCCTGTGGTGCTTGCATAACAGAATTCCCCAGTGATGCTTTTCTCAGAACGTATCCCTGTGATTAAGCAGTGCATGACTGTATTTAATACTGGGATTTAGGTAGGATTGTTGGTTTTCTTTAATCATTTGAAAACAGAAGCTATAAAAATAAAGTGGGGTTTTTTCCCTGAAGCTGAATTGGCAAGTTGGAAAATTTTGTGATTGAAAACTTCCTTTTACACAAAATTTCGATAATTTGGAATCTGAAAAGATGAGCTTTGGTTGTACGGATGTTTGAAATACAAAAATTTTGAGGAAAAATAGAAATAGAATGGAAAAAAGTACTTAGTAAATAGTAGTAATCAACTCCACATGTTTTTACTCCAGATTTGTGTTATCTCTGGCACAGATTAGATCTTTTGGGGAATATATATGAAAGTGGATTAAGTTTAATTCACCTATGTAAACCGCATCTACAATAGTTACAAAGAGTTTGGTCTCAAAGTATATTTATAGTATCTAGCAGATCAATTTTTGCAAAATCTTTTGAGCGTATTAGTATCAGAATCATGAATAAAATGGGAGTTTTCATGTAAACTAATTGATAATATTCTCAGTATTTTATCTCACTATTTCTCCGAGTTTTCTGTAAGCCCAGCTACTTAATATGCAGAGTTTTAATCATTCCTTAACAGTTTTTTAAAATTTAGTTTGTAGATTCCATTTGCTAAGGAAATTAATATAAAATATTAAAATATAGGAAAAGAGATTCATTAATATAAATTATAGTTACTAGATTTGGGTTACTTTTAATCATGGAATAATCTTATGTTTGTATTTGTGTACGATTCAATGAATGACTTTAGCTATATGATTATACTGGTATATAATCATTCAGCAAAAAATTTTGCATCCCTTTTGTTACCTAACTTACAAGTGTTTAAAATTGTGTTGCAGTTTTGCTTTACTGTTTAATAAAAGACTGTTTCAGAGATTGTGTGTATTAGTTTTTTGTTTGTTTGTGGAGAGATTGTGTGTGTTTTGATTTGGTTGCCTAAGTAACTGGGTGGTGTAGTGGTTTATCCAGGGTTGTTCAAAGCCACAGGGTAAGTAGCGTATCTTCCTTAAGTAGTAGTGCCTGGATGTGTAGGGGAATAATTTCATTAAATAAATGTTATAGGATATTATACATTAATTTTTAAAATAAAAGGAATTTGAAGAAGGATCCAAGATTTTCAGCCTAGTATTTTTTTAAGTTAGGCTAATCTTCCACAAAAAAGATGTGATTGAGTGATAAATAATATAAAATAATAAAGAAATGTCCCTCCCAACTAATGGTCTGAGGTGAGTGCTGCAAGTTGGCAGAAACTGAAGATGGCTTTGGCATTTTTAACCATGACTTCCAAGTCACACTAATTATCACCATTCTAATTTGCAGAAAAAGTGCATGGGGCAAGTTGCAAAGTTTTGAGAAAGGCTACTATTCTGCTAACATGTCTTCCTAGAGACATAATCAATGGTGCCAAGGCTATCTTTAAAAAATACAAGAAAAAGGAAGCTACATTAGCCTGGTCAAGTTAAAAAGTCTCTTAAAAGGCTAACTAAAATAAAAGCAAAAATCTCTTTGTTAGAGAAAGGACAAAATGTAAGTCATCTTCAAGTCAGATTGGGGTGGTAAAAGGAAAAAAGCCATTTTGGGATTAAGGAAGATCATGTCTGTCTACTGCATGGATCTAGTATACAATGATGAGAGTATTGGTTAAACCTGTCAGCTATGGTACATTCCCAGAGGGCACATCCACAGAAGTAGCAATGAGTTGGCAAAACGAGTTGCTCATATTTTACCACTGGGAACTCTTGGAGTGTAACAAAATGTTAAAGCAAATCTGCAACTAAGGAAGTAAAAAACAAAAAAACCTTTAATAATCTTTAGAAAAAAATGTTTACATATAAGATACCTATCAGATAAGAAGGTTTCATAATAAAGGATTTGTCTCCTGAAGTAGTTTCAGAAACATTCTCATCTGGAATCATTCAATATGTCCAGTTCTTTTGGTCATTCCAAATACAAAGCAAGAAAAGAGATCCTTGCAAGATGAGTTCATTTATTATTAAATCTATACAAAGTATGGTTATGTATTAAGATTGCCAGCACCAATTTATGCAAGTTCAGAACACACCAATGGAGTAAAGAAGGTATTTTCATTTTCAGTTCACTCCCTAAAATAAGAAGACTATGTTCAGCTTCCTTTAGTAAAAGGAGAAGCTAATGACTCATTTTCCTAGGCATGCTCTCTACATGCACTACTGGTGAGGAGGGTACATGGGAACTTAGTTGGTGCTTGTCCAAAGATGGGATGTGTATATCCGTGAAGGAATCTAAAATAGTACCCAATTAGTATAAAGTTTTTTAGATAGTATTAAAATAGTTTTGTGGTCTCAAAGATTTAGATCACCTTTCAAAGAGTTGCTCAAACATAAAAAGTTCTTAAAATATTTTAAGTGGAACAACTCAGCTCCATTATAATATCTCTAGAGGCCCGGTGCATGAAAATTCATGCTCTGGGTGGGGGGTATCTCAGCCCGGCCTGCCCCCTCTCACAGTCCAGGAGCCCTCAAGGGCAGGAAGTGAAATGGTGATCAGGCAAAGGCAATGCCCAATCACACCTCTGCTGCTGCCACTGCCAGCAGCACAAGCCTCGGCCATCCCTGGTTACCTGAACCTTGGGCAGCCCTGGGCAGCTGGGCAGCAGCCATCTGAGGCTTGCCTGTGCCTCAGGCCAGCCCTGGGCGGCTGGGGAGCCACTATCCAAGGCTTGCCTATGCCTTGAGACAGCCTTTGGGGACTAAGAGGATTAGGGGACTCCGGAGACAGGTGCACAGAGTGGCTGGGCCTGCCCTGCCCGGGTGGGACGGAGGGGTCTGGACACCACCATCTTTGAGAGCATGGCATTCAATTAGTATATTCCCTCCTTATTGGCTGTGGGCACTGCCATCTTTAAGGGTGAGGCAGTCAATTAGCATATCCCCTTCTTATTGGCCATGGGCATCACCATCTTTGAGGGTGGGGCAATCAATTGCATATTCCCTCCTTATTGGCTGTGAGCATCACCATATTTGCGATGGTGTGAGGGTCAATTAACATATTCCCTCTTTATTAGATAGGATTCTATGACTTTTGGTAATTACTATAGTTTAAAAAGAGAAGAAGTAGTAATAGTTGCTTCTATCCACCTTAGAGGTAGCTTTGAAGCTAGATGAACAGATTTAAATTTGTCAGGAAAAAAAGCAAGACAGAAATATAAAGCATATCTATTAGCCATTAGAATTTCTTAATGCACAGAAAATTAATTTAAAGCCTCCCAATAATAGCTCACCTATTAAAAAGGATATAAAAAAGGGATATAAATTAAAGAAGAAAAATATTTAAATTCTATTTTGAGAGCAGTGTACACATAAGCAATATTATAAATAGGGTACAACATTCTGGCATAAAACATCTATAAAAGTGTGGGAAAAAATCTATTGTTTCGATGAATCAATTATCTTTGTATTCAAATCTAAATTGTGCTGCACTACTGACCAGTAAGTCTGTGAATGACACTTAGACATTTCTGTTTTGTTAACCTGTTGGCCATCAAAGCACCACTTTAAAGAAATCTGTAATTTACTAGTAAGTGAACGAACCACAACTATAATTTGACACAAACTAGGTAAATGTGGGTCACAAACAACACTATCAAATGTTAATAGACTTAAACAACCATATAGAAACTTTATTGCATTTAGCTCTGTACAACAGAACACTCGTTTATATTGTAGAACTACCAGATATATTGTAGTGTAGCCATTCAAGAGGAAATTCCAATAACTGATTTTTCCAAAAGCATGAAAGCTGCTGCATATTATTTTGCTCTGTAACCAAAACTTTCTCCAAACTATTAAAACTGTGTAACTTCTAATGATATTAATCTCTTAAATCAGATATATAACTTGCCACTTTTTTCTTATTCTGAATTCAAAGACCAGGTAACTTCAAAGTTTCTGTTTTTTTCCTGAAAAGACTATAATGGATGTCTGAAATTATATGTAACATTACTAGATGTTAAAAACAGGATGTGCAGACTGATTCAAGTTCAGTTCTGGCACACTGATTTTAGAATGCCACATTTCTCTCAGGAATTAAAAATACTTGAAAAGCGTTTACTCCTTCCGTACTCTTCTTTTGCGTACTGACTTCACCGGCCCATCTCCAGATCCTGTGCTCTCATCTGCTTCCTTCATCTAGAAAAAATTAATTATAAAAATGTTTATTTTTATACTATATGTTAACTAGTAGGTGGTAGTAAATAATATATTTCTTATTCTCTAAAATATGTTCTAAAAATAAAATACTATCTTACACTAGTATATGTTCCTTTACTTCATGCAGTTGACCAAAAATGTGTATATAAATTGATGTTTTAATTTGTTCACCTTTTGGCACGATTACATTTTTAGAATAATTCTGCTTATTAAATATGCATCTGACAAGGAATACTGCTAACAGCTCAATTCACAATTTTATATTATAATTTAGAACTTAATGTCATAATTAATTAAAGGTTATGACATTTTCATTGGCAGATATTAAGCACTAACTTCATCACAGTATTTCTGTAAGTAATGAACTGCTGAGTGGTTTTACAGAATTTCTGGCATATAGTACTTTGAGATCAAGGAGACGGGAAAGATAAATACCAAATTTATGGTTTGGTTTTTTTCTTTTTTTTAATTCTTATCCTTCTAGAATAAGCATTTACACATAAATTAAACTTGTGTAACAATATAAAATAATGGAGTTTTAGATAGTATACAAAAGAGTTTAAATTATTTTTGAAGGTTATAATATACAGAAAAGTGGCTCATTTTTGCTCACTGACAAATGTATATGAGAAGACTAAATGACTGGAAGATGGACTTTAGATATTGTAAAGGTACATAAAATATTATGTGAAGCAAAATGTAACTAGAGGGGGAACAGAAAAAGTTTAACCAAAGAACAGATATATATATATATGCATAGCTCATTGACACAGACAGTGGTGTGATAAAGGCCTGGGGTGGAGTGGAGGGAGGAGAAGGGGAGAAAATGGGGGACATCTGTAATAGTGTCAACAATAAAAAATGTAACTAGAATATATATGCACGTGAATGATTGTATTATTTAGTGAATGACAGGTGGAACAATGACTTTAAAACTCTATTCTGGAAGAAATTATCTCCACCCAACTAGGATATTCATCCTCGATAATGATCTCCAAACCCCTTTAAAACCTCACAAAGCAGTTAAGACCAGTACCAAGGTATGTGTACTGAATAAGCTTTAGAAAACAGTAACAATAAAGCAAGTTTATTTGGGATATTTCTTCAAATGGACAAAATTGGAAGTTTATTTCATAATATACTGTCACCCTATCTAACGCTAAGTAGTAAGAGTTGTGACTCTGGGGCAAGATTGTGCAGCTCTTCAAGGGCTGGAGAAGTATAGAAAACGGCCTTTGGTATAGGCTAGACAGAAAAAAAAAAAAAGCTCTGGTTCTGATTATACCTGGATGGTTCTGATTCCATAATAACTGACTTAAAAAGGGTACTGTAGAAAGTTCTATTTCATATCAGGATATAAAAAGGGGTACGACCCATCAAGATAATGGGGAAACTAGTTTACTAAAGGTTTGAGAAAAGCACCATGTCAGGCAGATATTTCAGAAAGTGGGATGTAAATTATTGAATCAATTAGCATGTGTATACAATGACTGTTAAGAAAATTATAATAAACACAATTACCTTTTAAATATTCAAATGGCCTTTTTATTACACCTTTCAACAGAATACTTTAATGACAAAGTTGTAATATTTTATAGATGCTGTCCTCTCTATATACTTTATAAACCATGGGTTGGCTTTATACTATTTCATTAGGCATTAAGATGATATCATTATAGTATTTTCCTGTTTAATGGACATATTTAAAAAACATTATGGAGGCTCTTATGAAAGCTGACAGAAAAATGGCACAAAAAAATCCTTTACAGAACAGATTTCTCCTTTTATTGACATAAACATTTGGCTAATGATCATACATAGAAACTGGTTTATTTTCTGTTAGAGCTGCTCACCTCATCCTCCGATCCAGACTTATTTGGCTTACTACCTTCTTCCCGTCCTTCTATAATTTCAATTTCTCCTTCACTCTTTTCCTCAGGTTCACCTTCTTCTTCTGGAATACAGATTTTATTAAAGGCAAAGGCTTGATGAATTAGAATTTTGCTACTGAAAAGCAATTAATACAATAAGGGGGTTTATTTAAATCCCAATGTTTAAAAACAATCTCTTTTACTAAAAAATTTTTAAATAACTAAAAATACTAATTATTATACTACATTTTATAAATAATTATATTTGAAGGGACAGGTTTAAAGAATTCTTAAGCAGTCAGTCTGTGTGTAATATGAAAACCAAAGAAACTGTGTTTATATATGTATATATACATTTATAAACATATGGATGTGTGTGTTTTTAAATCAACTATTTCATAAACTTATAGAAGTTAAAAATAGTGCTTAAGACATAATTTAAATCATAAAGGGCTCAACCTGGATCTTGGCTTGAGACAACAGGCAAATATCAATAGTTTTACATCTACCTAGATGTTCGTGAGGAGGCCTCAAGGAAGAGCCACCAAAAAGCCTCAGTTCTTTAACTGATGTTAATCCTTAGGAGTTCAGTCTAGGGTAGGAAGGGGACATATGATTCAGCAACCCTTTCAGGAGATTATATTATTTATTTGATCTGATAAGCTATCTGATCATCAACAGCCATTGGAAGTATTGATTTTGTTGCTGCAGTCACCTTCCTTCCACCTAGTCTCTTGGACAGAGGCCATGGGCTACACAGCCCATCTCATCTGCATTGTTGGAGTCAAGAAAAGTCCTTGCAAAAAGCGGGGCATGTGGAATTCCTAGTTGCTAGGCTCGTAAGCAACTGAACAATATTTAAATATCTTTCTTCCTAGAAGACAAACAACTGAATAAGGTGATGGCTGCTCAGAGTACAACATCCAGACAGGCATGATTACTCCTCTTTGCCATAGTCACGCATTCTTGAGGATTCAGATGTATAATTCTGACAATACATGAGTAGTACAAGAGCTAGTGTTTCCCAGTTAATAGTTTTTATGAGCTTTGCCCAGGGTCCTCATTATAAATCACTATCTTACCCTTTTCAAGAATTTCACCATCACTTTGCTTTTTTTCCTCTTCCAAGTCGACTGGTTTCTCCAGGGCTGCTTTATCTTCCTTCACTTTTTGCTCTAGCGCTCCCTTTGTTTGTGGTTTACATATGTCAGATTTTTTATACTCTGCATCTTCATATTTTTTCTGTGATAGTTTAATATAAACTATTTTTACTAAAAGCAAAGCACTGTTTTTATTTATTGAGGAGAGAGGGAGAGAGGGAGTGGGGAAGAAGGGAGAGAAGGAGACAGAGGAGGAGAGAGGGAAAGAGAGGGAGAGATTTGTTGTTCTACTTATTTATGCATTCATTCATTGATTCTTATATGGACCCTAACCGGGGATCAAACCCACAACTTTGGTGTATCAGAACAAGACTCTAGCCGAAACCGGTTTGGCTCAGTGGTAGAGCATCTGTCTGCGGACTGAAAGGTGTCAGGTTCGATTCCGGTCAAGGGCATGTACATTGGTTGCGAGCACATCCCCGGTACAGCAAGAGGCAGCTGGTCGATGTTTCTCTTTCATTGACATTTCTAGCTCTCTATCTCTCTCCCTTCCTCTCTGTAAAAAATCAATAAAATATATTTATAAAAAAAAAAGAAAAAGAAAAAGGACAAGACTCTAACCAACTGAACTACCCAGCCAGGATCACAAGGCACTATATTTAAAAAAAAAAAAAAAATTGCAATAACTGACATCATACACAATTAAAAAAAATCTATACAAAATTTAGTTGAAGAACCACTTCCTCAATTCATAGAACTCTTAAACACTAAGAGGTATATTTTTTTTAAGTTGAAGAAAATTAATTTTATTTACCTTTACTTTCCTTGGCCAACAAAATGAAATAATTAATATTATTGGAAGCCCTGCTGTCACAAGATAAATGAACCAAAGCCAGGGATGCTCTTGAGCAGCTGCCATTAGCTGTGCAAATACACCAGGCTGCAGAGGAAATAAGCATGAAAATATAACTCAAATTACAAATCTTCATCAGGAAATACAGCCTATCCCAAAAACTTATTTTACCTAGGCGGTTTTTATATTAAGGAGTGTGAACTTGTTAAACTAAAAATTACTTCATATTCTTATCTTATATTTTATAAGTTTAAACCTATTATTAGCATCCATGCTGTTGAAGACTTTGTAGTAGAAGATATGTTACTAGTTAGGTGAAAACTGCTAATCTACCAACAAAAATAATGACAATTTTCTTTTTTTGGTAACTTTAAATTACAGGATATAATTCATTTTTAATAGATATACACAGGGTGGGGCAAAAGTAGATTTACAGTTGTGAGTATACAAAACAGTTTATTCTTAATTTCTTATTTATTGATTGTTTTATTTTCCATTTGCATAATATAAATCTACTTTTGCCCCAACCTGTGTTACCTGGTTCATTTAGAAGTATACAGCTCTGATAACTCATTCTATACTTTTAAAGGATTTATTAATAAAATCAACTTGTGAATTATTGCTATCACTTAGACCTAGAACTGTCAAGGTGACAAAGACTACAAATAGAAATAAGTAGTATCATTTCTATAAACAGCAAATAACCTCATTATAGCTATCATAATTTAATGAATGAAATTAAGACACATATAGTTCATTATATAATTTATAGTGAAGTTATATCATAATATAGTAAAGCTAAATATTCTATCTATATAAATTTAAGTGCATTTATTTGGTACTCAATAATTATTAAAAACTTACCTTTTAAAGGATAATTTGCATGATCATAACCAGGACCAAGTCCCATTATTACTATATGGTCAGTACCGTACCTCATTAGCATTTGCTATCATTCTTTTCACTCCCCAGCCATCTGCAGCCCAGCGATCTGCTACTTCCTTTTCTGAACAGATAATAAAATTATCAAAATAGATATCAGAGGTCATAGACCAAAGTTCTAAACCAAGAGCAGAGAAAGAAGTCATAAGAAATGGATGATCATCTTCAAAATAATCCGGATTAGGAATCTTTCGAGGACTCCAAATTCCCTGGAAGAAAAATAATTGGAAAACATTTTCAAATAAAATAATTTCATTATAAATGCTACTTAAGTAGTTGTTGAGTGAAATCATCTATACTAACTAGAGAAAAAGAAAATTTTGATATTAATTCATTAATAATTCAATGGAAATGAAATATTGTGCTTATTCTGTACATAATATTCCTGTAAATAATATTGACATTAAACTCTACAGAAAAAAAAGGCAGAGTGAAAATCTAACACAAACTGCCGAAACTGGTTTGATTCAGTGGATAGAGCATCGGCCTGCAGACGGAAGGGTTCCAGGTTCGATTCTGGTCAAGGGCATGTACCTTGGTTGCGGGCACATCCCCAGTGAGGGGTGTGCAGGAGGCAACTGATTGATGTATCTCTCTCAATGATATTTTTAGCTCACTATCTTTCTCCCTTTCTCTCTGTAAAAAATCAACAAAAAATATATTTTTTTAAAAAAGAAAATCTAACACAAACTTGAGCAATTAAATTTCACAAAGTAAATGGTACTATTTTAGACAACTTTGTTTTTTTTTTTTTCAATTCTCACCCTAGGATATGTTTTTCAATGATTTTGAGAGAGAGAGAGAGAGAGAGAGAGAGAGAGAGAGAGAGAGAGAGAGAGAGAGAGAGAGAAAGAAAGAGACATCAATTGGTTTCCTCCCATACGCGCCCCAGGCATGTGCCCTGACCTGGAATTGAATCCACAACCTTTCAGTGTATGGGATGACACTCCAACCTACTGAGCTACCTGGCCAGGTAGACAAGTTTTTTATATTTAGTAAAGTATTTAAGGCAAGATGTTATTAAAATTGCCCAAATCAGAGAGATCACTGTTTGGCAAAAATGGAGCCACTCCTTTTAATATATATATATGCCCATGATAGGCATTAATCATAGTTGAACCTCAGAAAAATTATCCAACAAAAAAGTTCTATTAGGTCTGAAACGATTAAACACAATCCAATTAAATCAATTTGACAGTATGATCACTCACTGACTCACTCTGACATCATGTGTATTTATTCCGTGCCAGGCACTATGCCAGAGCTAGGGGTACAAGTGACATAGTTCTTGTATTATCGAGGGTACAATCTGATGAGGGAGACAGATATTTAAGAAAAAAGTTTCTAAAATAAATATTTGGTGATAAATGCTATAAATAAAAACTAAAATGAGCAATTAGAATATTTAACTGCATACGTAAAATACATGTTAGAAAATGTCAATGAATAATTAGATAAAAATACAAGATTAAATGGATAACATAATGGACTTCTACTACAAAAAAAAATAGGTACACTCAAAGGGTATCTGACTAATTTTAGGGAAAAAAAACAACACAAATTTTTATAACATCAGAAAGTAAGCAACATATTAGTTAAGCATAGCAGTACTTTTGATCAGAAGTCATTTCTTATATTTCATTCTAAAATAGAACTTTATTCTACAATGATTATAATATTAGGAAAAATACAATATGAAGTGACTGATCTCCAGTTCTTTATTTCTCCAGAAAATTAAAGAATGCTTTACTTTTAAAATATAAACTAGAGGCCCAATGCACGAAATTCATGTAAGAGTAGGCCTTCCTTCCCCTAGCTGCCGCACTGGCTTCCCTCTGGCACCTGGGACCCAGGTTTCCCTCAGGCCACCTGCAGGCACCCAGGACCTGTCACTTGAAGCCCCAGCTTCATCTGAAAGGACATCTGGTCTAATTTGCATATTATACTTTTATTATTATAGATTAGTTGGAGTCTATCTTCTTTGACTTCTTAAAATAGCCAAAGGCACACTATTACAAATCAACTTTTTATCATTAATCTAACATTATCAATAACTATATATATATATATATATATATATATGTATATATATATATATATATGTATATATCTAAAAGGCTAAGTGACCATCTGACCATCGACCAGTAGCTATGACACTCATTGACCACAAGGGGGCAGATGCTCAACACAGGAGCTGCCAAGCAGTGGTTCTCGGGTGACGTACCCCAAAACCAGAGAGGAGGGGCCCAATTCCAGGGTGCGTTACTGAAAAACAACCCTCTCACAATCTGGGACCCCTCTGGGGATGTTGGAGAGCCAGTTTTGGCCCAATCCCTGCAGGCCAGACTGAGAGAACCCACCTGCTGGAGGGACCCCGCTCACTCCACAGACGCCCTTAGAGCCGCAGCACCACTGTCTTGCCCAGTCCTGCCCCGCTGGCCACCTTCTAAATAATTTGCTTTCAATGTGCATGAATCTGTACACCGGGGCACTAGTATAATAGAACTAGCATAACATTTTGACTCCAGAATGGGATTGGAACAAGTGGTCCTTACCTGGTAATTAGGATTATCTATCATTGGAGGTCTCCATACTCCCTTGTATTTTGGGTTATCTATCATGGGAGGCTTCCACTCACCACACCCAATCTGACAGGCTGGATTAGAAATATGAGGTGCCTCCCATTCTCCATCCATGTCTTCATTCCTTAGGACATTAGAACAAAGCAAATATAATAACCTCAATTCTCTACTATCAGTCATATACACTAGCAACAAAAGAGCAACTGAGAGACATGCAATAGATGGACCTCTGGGGATGAAGGATGCTTACCAGTCATCAGGCTTCTCAGCATTGGGATCTGGAATAAATTTGGGTTCATCGTCAAGCCAGCCATCAGGTTTAACAGCTCTTAAATCTTCTATCTGGGCAGGTTCACTTTCATCCCTGTAAGTTCAGTATTTTATGTTACTTATTAATTATGCAAAGGTTTACAAATGCATGGCACAATATTCAGAAGGTATTAAAAATATTTCCTGACCTTCTTATCTTTGTGCCTACTTTGTCCAATTTCTCATCCACCTAAATCTTCTTGCCAGTTTTTGGTACATTGCTCCTGTTGCACTCTATGCAGACATACACATATGAATATATTCTTTTTTATACAAAAAGAATTCTATATAAAGTCTGTTAAATGTTGCTTTTGTCATTTAAAACTCAGTCATTCATCAACAAATACAAATTGGATGTTGACATGCGAAGACTTCCCAAGGAGTCCTATTTTATATACACATATTAATACATCTGCTTCATTCTTCCTTACAGTTCCACAGTCTTCTTTTTGGAGGATATAGCATTATTTATTTAACCTATCTACAACTGAGGGGCATTTAGTATTCCCTAAAATTTATTATTATAAATAATGCTGTAATGAATATCCTGGAATAGACGTTAAAAAAAAAAAAAGAAAACCTAGCCCTCTACTAGTATAGTCAGCTATATGAATTTAAAATAGTTATTCCAGTTTCTCATGTGTTTTTTATTATAGTTCATGGTGATTTTTTTTTTGCCATGTACAAATCATTTCTTTAATGGGTTAAAATTTGTTAATATTTTCTTTTATAATTTTTCAATTTTATATCATATCTAGAAAGGTTTTTTTAAAATATTTTATTTAAAGGTTATTTAAAATAAATATTTTTGAATGTTTAATGTTAGTAATTTTAATTTAAAAATAGAACTTCATAAATTCTAAAATATATAACCACAATTTTAATATGGTCTGAAATGAACTACTAATATAATTTTTATAGAAAAGTAGAAATTTCAAATGAGATTATGTTATGACTTTCCAAACAAGACAAAATAAGCAAATAAACTGAAACAATCAACTATCTGTGTAAAGACTAGTACTTGCCTGATACTAGTGTTATCCTGAGTTTCTGAGGGCTCAGAATAACCAGAGTTTAATATTTAAAGGAACATTTCTTGTACACTTACATATATGACAACTTCTAATTCATATCACCAATCAGAATGAAATTTCAATATGTAGTTTCTCTCATTTAAGGGCAAACTTATTTCCCAGTTGTCAGCATTATACTTTATGGGAAAACAAATATGAAGCAATGTTAGAAAACCAACATGGAGGATGAAGTTCTACCTTTTCTGATAGTATAAATTCATAAAGTGATACACTACTAAGTGATGTTTTTATTGTTTAAGAAACTGAAGTATTCCTCCCTCCTTGAACAAGTTACTTCCCTATTATACTATTTGCCTGAAAGCAAAGACATTTACATTACTAATCAGTATCCCTCTTTACCTACAAGAGAGCTAATCAGTAAACACTTTTAGTTCCAAGAGCAACATTCTATGTTCTGAAAGGGTAATCCCCTCAATGTTCACAGACAATCAAGAACTTAAAGAAATTGAAATAGACACTTTCCAAAATTAAGCATAAAGAGAAAAATTGGTTAAAAATTTACAAATTGGTTACAAATTTAAAAATCAAAACAGATCCTCAGTGACCTGTGGGATAATATAAAGCAACCTATCTAATATACATTAAGTGGTGACCTCCAAAAAGAGATGAAGAGGTGGGTGCATATAAATATTTAAAGAAATAAGGGCCAAATATTACCTGGATTTGATTCAAACTATAAACCCACATTCCAAAAAACTCAGAAAACCCAAAGAAAAACACACAAAAAAAATCTACATCAAGGGACAAGAAAATCAAACTGTTTAAACTGAACAGTTTAGGTAAAGTTCTTCTTTACCTAATATGTCTTTTTTTCCCCTTTTAAAATCCCCCCAAAAAGGGGTGGGGGAGATGACATATTAGGTAAAGAAGAACTAGGATGGGAACAATTGACTTCTCATCAGAAGCAATGCGAGCTCCAAGAAAAGACATTACTGTTGCAAAATAACTATCAACCTTAACCCAATAGTGAAAATATTCTTCAAAAGGGAAGGTAAAACAAAGAAGTTTTCAGACAAATCAAAGTTGAGAGAATTCAATGACAGCAGACGCACACTACAATGTGTTAAGAGAAGTTTATCAGGCAAAAGGAAAACAGAACAGTTGGACACTTGTATCTACACTAAAGAATAAGAGCACAAGAGTCCTGGCTGGTATGTCTCAGTTGGTTGAAGCGCTGTCCCATACATCAAAAGGTTGTGGGTTCGATTCCCAATCAGGTTACATACATAGGTTACTGGTTCAATCCCTGGTCAGGGCAAGTAAGGGAGGCAATCAATCATTCTCACATTAATGTTTCTCTCTTTCTCCCTTTTTCCTCTCTCTAAAACCAATAAGAATATCCTTGGGTGAGGATTAAAAAAAAAAAAAAAGAATGAATTACTAGAAATGTGGGTAATTAAAAGGACTTTCCTTTTGTCTGATTAAAAGACACTGAATAAAGAATAAATGTGTGGCTTTCACACATGCATAGAAGTAAATGTATGATGAAAGCACAAAGGATGGAAGAGGGAAAATGTTCACTTAGACATAAAGTGGTTTAATACTACTTGAAAGTAGACTGAAATAAGTTAAAGATACATATTGTAAACCCTAGAGCAACCAGCAAAATAAACCAGAATGAAGCTAATAAGCTAACAGAAAAGAAAAAAGTAGAATAATAAAATAAAATAGCTAATACAGCCCTAACTGGTTTGACTCAGTTGATACAGCGTTGGCCTGCGGACTGAAAGGTCCCAGGTGCGATTCTGGTCAAGGGCATGTACCTTGGTTGCGGGCACATCCCCTATAGGAGGTGTAGAGGAGGCAGCTGATTGATGTTTCTAACTCTCTATCTCTCTCCCTTCCTCTCTATAAAAAAATCAATAAAATATATATATTTAAAATTAATGAAATAAAATAGCTTATTACAAAATCTTTTTATAAAGAACCATAGAATATAAGAGACAAACAGAAACCAATAGTGAGTTGATAGATCTACATCCAACCACATCAATAATTACAATAATCTCAAAAAGCTTATTCTAAGTGAAAGAAGCCAGAAACAAAAGCTATACACTCTATGATTTCATTTTATATGCTAGTCTAGAGAAGGCAAAACTATAAGGGACAGAAATCAATCAGTGGTTGTCCCCTGAGGTTAAGGGTGGGAGGAGGAAATTGATTACAAAAAGATATGGACCTTTTTGGATAATGTAAATATATTCTGTCATGATTGTGGTGGTAGTTACATCATTGTATATGTTCATCACAACTAATTATATATAAATTCATATATAAATTATATATATAATTCATATATATAACTGTGTGAAATTATACTATAATATACCTGAGAGAGAAAATGCAATTAGAATCTAGCAAATGTACAAAGAACAATACTTGCTGACCAAGTATATTGTAAGATTAGTCCAAAATTAGAAAATCAATCAGTATAATTTACCATACTAAGAAAATAAAGGAGGAAATCTATATGATAATTTCAGTAGATGCACAAAAGCATTGTATAAAACCCAACACTTAATTATGAGGGGGGGGGAAACTCTTTGTAAAATAAGAACAGAACTTTATAAACTCATATTTAGCATTCACACCACACAGGTAGCCAATTCCAGATCCCCAACTCAGGAACTGGGTGTGCGGTGTCTCTTGTCTTCAGCTGCTAAGGTTTTAGATAATTTGTTACATAGCAATAGATAATTAATATAGTGGGTTAAATACAGACAGACAGATCACCTACTTAGCTAAACCAGGATTGTTACCCATCAGCAGAAAACATAATAAGGTTCTTAGGAAGAGAGGAAATAGAGAGACATATCTCTCATCATCTGGACTCAAGCTATGGAACTCAGGAATGGAATAGATTTCTTTTAGGGAAAATATTCGTAATCCTGTAGAATGAAAATGACACAAATACTCATCTAGCAAAAAATTATGGTTAAGCAAACTGGCATGATTGACTTCTATATAGTTTTCTAAGATGTTGAGGACATGCCTATTTTAAGTCTAATTAATGGAAAAGACTACAACTCTTTAAAATATGCATACATATGATAGACTAAACTAGAAATTAAAGTGTTGATATATTAGAGTCATGGAACTTTCCATAACACTGGGAGCATAAAAACAAAAATAAATTGAAAAAAAGCAACCAAATTAAAATGTTAATTCAATTAAAATGAAAATTAAGATAATTAAAAAGCAGGGATGTGCTAAATCCATTTTAGAAAAGTACTTCATCCCAAATAATCAAAGTAAGTAGTTCTGATGTTTAAAAGAATACATTTCATTAGTAGTAAACTTCACTTAGAGGTTTTGTGACATTAAATAATGCTTTACTATCGAAAAGTTGGCTTACCAGTCATCTGGTTTGATGGCAGAAGGATCGGGAATTTTTGCTCTTTCATCCCAGTCCTCAGGTTTTTTATCACTGGCATCTTCAATTTCTTTGGGAGGATTAATAGAAGGAACCACATCCTCCAGTAGGTTGCCTTTGTTTACAACTATTTGATCAATTAGCACTTCAAATGTGTTATCTGGATTCATCACTAAAGACCAATTTAAATATAGTTATAATGATAGACTTTTTAAAAATAATATTTTAAATAATAAAACTACCCTAAACTTCATGGGTAAATTTTTTCTCTCAACCAGGAATAGAGGAGTTCCCAATACATTAAGTTAAAATATGCTAAAATCACCAGATTTAGGGATTTCTAAAATCAAAGATAAAATTTTAAGTAATTTAATAAAATGCACCATTACTTCTCAATGGATTTTTTCTGTCCAAATATGTTTTTTACATAACACTTATTTCCTGTGTACTTTTTAAACTCTAATTTTAAAAAATCCGTTTCAATTGTAAAATTTACTCAGAAAACATTCTTTACAAGATTTTTCTTGAGAAACGCCTTTTTCTTGAATTAGGAAGGATCTAGCTAGTACTGTTTTGCATTTAAGGTCTCCCTTTGTTGTAGTAATCTCAGCTGTTAATAGAAGAGGAAGTAGTGGAGAAAATAAAATAAAACACTGAGTGTGTGTTTGCATTATTGGAGTTTATGTCTGGATTGCAGTACTTGAGTTTGATATGATTCGGCCTTGTTGTGATTGAACCTCTGGAGACTGGCTGTATTTCAGAGCTGTATCTTCAGGAAGCCGTAGCCCATTTAACTAGGTGAGTCTGCATGAGCCTGACATTTGTTGGCAGCTTGTACTTCCTTAGTTTATTGAAAACAAATGTTAGGCAGTTATTTTCATCTATCATTCTTTACAAAGATAAAGTTTACCTAGTGATCCCCTTCCATTGTTAACATAAGGTATGCTGTAAGGTTCTTAGAACAATTACAGAACAATGTTATAAAATACCACAGTATTACAGAGGGGGCTTTTTTTTTTTTTTTTTTTTTTTTTTTTTTTTTTTTTTTTTTTTTTTTTTTTTTTTTTTTCTGAATGAATGAAAAGGATATACCAAGGGTATATAGATGAGTCTTCCTGTCTGTAAAGAACTTTTTCAGGTCTACTTCTGGAGGTTTGGCATGTTTCTCTTCAAAAACTCCAGTTTTTGGGTGTTTATGTCTGAAGATAAAATGAAGCTTATAATCTTCTCCGCATTTATCTGGTCCAAACATAATGGTATAGGATGTTTTATCATGAAAGTTTTCCTTCAAAGAGAGATGAGTGATGGGTTTAATCCAGAATTAGAGTATTTAATAAATTTCTCTAGAGTATTTAATGAATTCTATCCAATTGGGCCAACTTTACAAAAATGTATTAAGTGTTAATTTACCAAAGAATTATTTAACACATGATAAAAAAAAAAAGGGTGTGTGAAAATGACAAACATTATTCAAAATAGGTTTTTCTAAAGCACACACTTCTTCCTTCATAAAGATGTAGGAGGGAAGCTGAAACCATCCTAACAACATCATAATTAGCTTACTTTATGCAAATCTGCATTACTAATATTTTATTAAGAAAATTAAATATAGAGAAAAGCATACTTATGACCTTAAGACAAAAATTATCCATCACTATTATTCAGGAACACTCTAGAAAATGACCCTTCTGAGCAGAGAAAAGAGAAATCCAGAAACAAAAACAGACACAGAGACTATTTTTTCTACTGTTTTACTGCTAATAAGTTCTCATTTGACATGGCCTACTGTTTAAGAGCACGGGATCTAGAGTAAGATGCTGGGGTTCAAGTCCTACCGCTGCCACTTATGTTAGCTGCACGTGGCCCTGGCAAATTCCTTAACGTCTTTGTAGTTTTATTTCATCATCTCTGAAGTATGGAAATAATAATAGTACCTATGTTAAAAAGCTTTCTCTGAGAATCAACTGTGTTAATCGGATCAAGTGCTTAAAGAAATACTTGGCACTACGTTTTATTATTATCTTTATTCCCTCAGGTGATTGTCACCTGTAATACCTAAAACAAGAGCTTGCACATTTACTCTATAACCTCCCCTCTACCACGTCCAAATAGTGGCGCCTGACTCCTTTACTCCATGGTCCACAGCCCGTACAGAGCCATGTGTTCTGATAGGTACCTCACCACCTCCTACCTCTTCTTCCTGCTGTATGCAGGAAGCCTGACACAGCCTCCTGTAGGAGAACGCTGTAAGAATTCAACATCCCCAGCCTTCAAATGGGCTTAATACAAGCTGCTTCTTTATGAAATATTTTTAGTTATTTTTTGTGGACTGCCAATTTCTGAACTGGCCCACCTTTTTTATTTAGTTCTTTGATCATTCTGTTTCACTGCTTTTCTCTGTTATCTTATTTCTCTGAACAAATTTATGATTCTTACTTGGTAAAGAAAATAAATCTAAGTTGATCTTTCACTGACATTTATAAGCATCATGTTGTTTCTTATTTATAGACATGGAAAAAATTTTTATGTTGCTAAAAATTACAAAAATCGATGCCATCAAGTAATATGGCTGTACATCAAACTTGAAGGCACACTGTAAAAGCCATGAAAACTCATGTTAGATAAAGATTTTCAAAGTTGTTTTCAATTTCAGTTTAAAATTAAAATTTTTTAATTTTATCAATTACTCCTTAAAGTACTTATTAACTTTAAAACTTATTAACATTAAAATATCATACCAGATTCAAATCATCAGTGTCTGCTAGGAGTTTAATGTATGCACCTCCACAATCAATACCATCTTGAAAATTTACTTCATATCTAAATAAAGGGAAAAAAATCACACTGCTGATAAGTAAAAATTACTAATTTCTCTTTTAAAAAATCTACTATATCACTCTCCATTCATTTAAATATAAATATTTTATATTGCCAGAAAACCCATAATAAGCACATCCATAGCCTAGAGGAAATGAGCAGAAATGCATTTTCTATGCACATCCTTAAAATGTCAAAAGTAGAATGATTATCAAGTATTAAAAAGCCAACTAACTTTAGAAATAATTTTTCCATCAGAACTGCAGAATTAAGAATAAAATACTTTGACTAAGACAATAGGAAATTTCAAATTCAGATAAGGTATACACCACACATATTTCTTAATAGACTAAAACACAAAGGCTATGAGGACCACAGCCACAGCAACAGAACTCTAAGAAATTACTAATGATCATAGATATCCAGTGCACTAATCATTTTAATTTCATCTCTCTAATTATTCGTGACATGTTTTAGTTCAGTTATACCTAACCATGCCAAAGAATCGTATATCTAATTAAATGCTTCCAGCAAAGAGATTTCAAAATCTCAATCAATAACTTGGAGTATTTTAGATTTTAACAGCCAGGAGAGATGGTAAATATAATACTGCAGCTGAAGGAGAGAACTGACATTGAGTGTCTTTTCATGGATTTACAACACTAAGTACTTCTCAGCAACCCCCTCCCCCCCACCACACACACACACACACACACACACACACACACACACACACACACACATTTTAACGAACTAGTTAGGCAATGAGATACAGACTTATTAAACAGCATTTAGAAGAGAATTTGGGTAAAGTAATTAATTACAAGTTATATAAATCAATGAGGAAATGACTATCAGTGAAAACCAAAAAGTTATGATTTGGTTTAATGAATTTAAAAAAAAAAAAAAAGCAAGATAAAAACTAGCTGTAGTTGGTTTGGCTCAGTGGACAGAGCATCGGTCCGTGGACTGAAGGGTCCCAGGTTTGATTCCATCAAGGGCATATGCCCAGGTTGTGGGCTCTATCTCCAGTAAGGGGTGTGCAGGAGGCAACCATTTAATGATTCTCTCGGATCATTGATGTTTCTATCTCTCTCTCCCTCGCCCTTCCTCTCTGAAATCAATTTTTAAAATGTATATATCTATAGATAGAGATAGAGATATAAAAAAATCAAAACTAGAGAAACAACAGAAACTCGTGGTAATTTTAATGGACTATTGTTTAAAAAATCTTTCTAAAAGAAACTTCAGTTATAATAGAGTAAAAAAATAGAATACAAAACTTTAATAGTGTGAAGATAGTTAGTATATACATTTTGTATTGAAAAGAATAAGAAATACAGTAACATTTTGGTTGATTATCTGAGATGCCAAATCATGGTTATTTCCCCTCCAATTTTACTCTGCTTTATTTCTCAAGATCTCTACAATATGGTGACAAGTGTATACTTTAGAGTAAAAAAGACTGAGATTTATTCTTGATTTTGCCACTTGCTCTAGTGACTTTTAGGGTAAAAGTAAATTATTTAAGCTCTAAGTCTCCAGTTGCTCATCTATCACATGGACACACTGCCTATACCTACACCTCAAAGGACTGTCGTGATGATTACCCTGTCACACAATGGGTAAATAAATGTTCAAAACATTAGCTTCTCTTAGCTATTGTAAATAACACTGCTATAAACATAGGGGCACATATATTCTTTCTGATTGGTGTTTCAGGTTTCTTAGGATATATTCCTGGAAGTGGGATCACTGGATCAATGGGAGTTCCATTTTTACTTTTTTGAGGAAATGCCACACTGTTTTCTGTACTGGCTGCACCATTTTGCATTTCCACCAGCAGTGTACTAGAGTTCCCTTTTCTCACATCCTTTCCAGAAGTTTGTTGATTTATTGATGGTAGCCATTCTGACAGGTATGAGGTGGTACCTCATTATCATTTTAATTTCATCTCTGATTATTCATGACATTGAGCATTTTTTCATATGTCTCTTGGCCATTTGTGTGTCCTCTTTAGAGAAATGTCTATTTAGGTCTTCTGCCCATTTTTTAAACTGGATTGTTTGTTTTCCTTTTATTGAGTTATATGAATACTTTCTATATTTTGGAAATTAATCACTGGCAAATATATTCTTCCATATCATGGGTTCCCTTTTCACTTTGATGCTGGAAAAGCCCAAGTGCCCATCAGTAAGTGAGTGGATAAAAAAAAAACTGATAAATTTATTCAAAGGAATACTTTACAGCTATAAAAAGGACCTCTTACTCTTTGAGACAACATGGAAGAACCTAGAGAGTGTTATGTTAAGTGAAATAAGCCAAAGAGAAAGACAAAATATCACATGATCTCACTTATATGTGAAATCTAATGAACAACAACAACAAAAAAACCCTGACAAACAAAATAGATCCAGAGACATAGAAGCATGCAGCAGATGGAGGATTCTCAGAGGGAAAGCGGGGGAAGGGGTGCTTGGGAAGAGATAAACGAAAGAACTTATATGATTAACCCATGAACATAGACAATAGTGAGGGAGAAGTCTGCGGAGAGGGTGGGAGTGGGAGGAAGGTGTCAAAGGGGAAAAATGGGGAGACATCTGTAATACTTTCAACAATAAAGATAAATAAAAATCAAGGAGAAATAAAAACTAAATTTACTTGACTTCTTAAAAAAAAAAAAAGAAACAATATAAGAACAATTGTGGGATGGAGAGTTTATTTTCTCATGACTAAAATTTTCTAAATTTCCTATATTGGTTTTATGAGTCAAAACTATAATTGCTTTCATAAATTATGAAAATTTATAAAATTATAATTAATTTTATTTAAAAAATTTAAATGAAGTTGTAATAATAGATGACTTTTAAAAGTGTTATGCTGGTGAAATTTTTTAATGTTATGTGTGAACTCAATCCTATAGTTTTCGTACCATGATTAACTTTAAGATCTTAAATTGATATTAAAATTTTTAGTTGATATATAACATTTGAACATGTGGGCAATGTAATTTTCATTTAACTATATTTTTTTCTATTAAAAGTAGGTATCAGTTATTACGTCAAAAATGCAAAAAAAATATTAGCTTATGATCAGAAGAAAAGTTTTGTTTTGTCCTTTATTGTTTTTTAAATAAAGGAGATTATATCTATAAATGTAAATATAGCTTAATTATCCTATTATGTCTAGTTTCAAGCACTGTCAATTATTTTTAAATTAACTTGCTTTTCACTCAAAACCCAGGGTGTTTGTGTGTACATACGCATTGTGTGTTTTTTATCCCATTTTATAACCATTATATACTCACAAATCAAATTATATAAAACTAATATAAATTTAAGAAAATCTTTAAAAACATAAAACTTACTGAACTATCAAAGGGTTATCTGCAAAAATGAAGGGTTTTGCTAATGTAGCAGATATTGCATGATGCTTTGCTCTGGATTTCAATACCAGTCCTCTGTCACCAGGCACTCGGTTTTCTTTCAGTTCTTCTATTTCCCATCTTCCTAAAATATAAAGCAGAGCAAATTAAACTACAACCAAAACACTGACTTAAAAATTATTTATCAGCAGCCAGGACTGGTTTTGCTCAGTGGATAGAGTGTCGGCCTGCGGACTGAAAGGTCCCAGGTTCGATTCTGGTCAAGGACATGTACCTGGGTTGCGGGCACATCCCCAGTGGGGAGTGTGCAGGAGGCAGCTGATCGATCTTTCTCTCACAACTATGTTTCTAATTGTCTATCCCTCTCCCTTCCTCTCTGTAAAACATCAATAAAATATATTTTTTAAAAGTATTTATCAGCATCGATGACCATTAGGATTATTCCATGAAGGCTGATTTGGGGAAAATGAAGCAAATTTTAATTTTAGAAAATAATATCTACAACTGTATGTATGCCTACTTCTTTTTTTCTTACCATAGAACAGTTTCATTTTCTTAGCTAAAATTGTGGAAACAAATAAATATCAGACACTGCAGTATCTAATTAAAGCCCTTTTAAAGCTGGCTTCATTTTTTTATTTCTCTGAAATTTTTTTATCAATGAAATTGTAAACTATGCTTTGTCTCAACATTATATGTTTAACCTGAGATATTTTAAAATTACAGACAAGACAGAGAACATATCTAATAAAAAATCTAAAGTCTACCTCATTTTGAAACACATGGTATTCAACAGCTATTTTTCTTACTTTGCAGAAGTTATTGTGGGGATTTAAATTTTATTTTGAAAATCATATGTACAATGAAATTAGCCAGCCAGAGAAAGACAAGTATCCCATGATCTCACTCATTCATATGTAGAATCTAATGAACAAAATAAACTGATGATCAAAAAAGATCCAGAGGCATTGAGGTATGCAGCGGGCTGATGAATTTCAGAGGGAAGGTAGAGAGGAGGGGAGAGATTAACCAATTTACCTGTATACATACTAGAGGCCCGGTGCACAGATTTGTGTACCAGTGGAGTCCCTTGGCCAGGCCTACACCCTCTCACAATCCAAGACCCCTTAGGAGATGTCAGACTCCTAGCCTTGGCCCCATCCGTGCAGTCCAGGCCTCTCGTGTGCATGTGAGATCTTTGATTAATCTCTTCCCGCTATTCCCCCTTCCCTCTGAGATTCATCAGTCTGTTCCATGTTTCTATGCTTGTGTGTTGAGCATCTGCTCCCTGGTGGTCAGTGCACATCATAGCTACTGGTCCAACAGTCGAGCGGTTCAACACTTAACGTATTAGGCTTTTATATATCTAGATATGCATAGCCCTGGACAGACAGTAGTTCAGGGAAGGCCTGGGGAGGGGATGAGATCGAGGTGGATTCAGCAATATAGATAAATAAAAAAATTAAATAAATAAATAGTTCTGCAAAGGAAATCTGATATTGGTGGCTTAAATATGGATTACCCAGGGACTCCAGGAAATACTGGAAAAGAGACAAAAGACTGAGTGTTCTATTGTGAAGACTGAGGCCCCATATACATATTTCATATAAATATAATCTCAAAAGTTAGTGAACTATGGGTCATACTAGTAAAATTTAAATAAACATTTTACCATTATATATGGAAGTATCCATGTCTGTATCATCTTTCTTTGCTTTTGATAAAACCCACCTATAAATAAAGGTAAAAGCAAATGTATAGCATTAAAAATAAAACCACAATTTATAGATACAATGCATATTAGAAAAACAATAAAAGAATATCCAACAGTTACTTCTCACTCAAAAGTAAATATTTAAAGGCTAAATCGGACATGTATACATTATCCTGCAAGGCTAGTTACATTTGCAATCAGCTGTATGATCATGGGTAAGATATATTAGGCCTCCCTTTTCTCACCTATAAAATGAGATAAAGGTAATATTTACCTATCTATTCAGGACAGTGTCTGGCTTATAGTAATCAATAAGTAATAAATCTTATTGTTTCACCATTATTTAGAATAGAAGAATAAATTAAACTTGTCATGTAAAATTATATTATTAATATCTGTGCTAAAGGGGGGAGAAAGTTATAAATTTTTACTTTATATTTATAATTCATTTGTTTTTATTTTCTTTACATAAATAAATAACTATTCAAGTTAAACATTTCTATCCATAACAAAAATATGTTAAGATACTGGTGTACACTGTTAAATAAAGCACTTTAAATTTTTTTATAATTCCATAGTAGGGGCAATATTCATAAGCCAATAAACAATATTTTCAAAAAAACAAAGCAAGTAAAGAAAATCATTCTTTTGAATGATTACTCACCCAGCCAACCTTCCACTATCAAAAGTTTCTGTAAAATATACTCCTCCTGTAGGTTGAGGTGTCTTATATTTAATCTAGAAAATAATTTTTAAAAATCTAAAGTTATTCATCTTCACAAATATTTTAGTTACATAATCTCACTAGTTAAGAACTTATTATATATTGGACATATAGGTAAAACTTTGTATCCTGGTGATGAAAAGATACAAGAAAATATGAGCGATATGATGACAGGAAAAAATACTATATGTGCAAGGATATACAGAGGATACACTGATTCCTCTAACACAGAAGGAACAGGAAGTAATAGAGAAGGCCTCATGACACCGCTGACATGACCTTAAAATAATTCTAACAGGTTATAATATTTGGGTATATAAATCATTAGAAGTAAAATAGCACAATAAAAATACAAGATAAGGAACTTAGTAAGCATGTAGGCTGGTTTAAAATTGACTCTTAAATTTCACTGATATGTGACTACAGAATGTTGACACGGTTGAAAGATTAGGAACCTATAAAACAAAAATGTTCACTAGAGAAAGCACCGCAAAGCAAGTTATCTGCAGAGCTGCTCTGATGATGATCATGATGGATGAGGTGGTGGTGATAGAGATACGGTGGTCTTTTAATCCTCACCATACTTCTATGAGAAAAGTACTGTTGTTGTGCCCATTCCATGTATGGTAAAACTATAGGAGAGAGATAAAGTAACTTGCCCACTGTCTTCCAGTTAGATATGAGTCCAGGCTGTCCTATTCCAAAGCTTGTACACTTAACCGCTACACTATATAAAACATACCAACAAAAGAACTTATAAGATTAAAGATAATCTACTGACAAATTATCAAGAGATAATTTGAATTGATGATAAATTATTAAATTTTGCCAAATAGATCTGGGTCCTTTCTGAATCAGCCTTCATGATTTTATTTATATGATTAGTTATGAGATGTCTTGTCTTAGTCTTTAGAGAAAAAGGATGTAGAAGTACTTTTTCTATTTTCACTGTCCCTGTCCTGTCCTAATAGTATAACATTTCTTGTCTGTTAAAGGAAGAAAAATCAGTAATTAACCAGTTAACTGCCACAATATTTTGAATTTAATTTAAAAGGTACATCATGTGCATCTGTAGACGCTTATGGCATATAAATGATTAAACAAGATTCCACATTATTATCAACAGGGTCAAGGTTCTGCTATCAAAATAGTTAATAGACTATGAAGTTACCTGCTCTCTCTGTTTTTGGCACAACGGAACATTGCTCAATGGTGTCACAGAGGCCTCATTCTTCCGTTAGACCACCCTTTACATCGCCAGCAGTGCATTTTGCCATTTATTTATACTTTATTGTATCCTGATTACTCATGCCATACAATTAGAAGAGTCAAAAATCAACTGTTCTTTCCTGCTTTTTATCACCTTTTCAAATTATCATTAACTATAGTTAAGAGGGGTAGGTATCTGCCAATTGGTTTGGAATGTTCACTTCTAAAGACTATGTGGTAGTCATTAGCACTTTGATTACTACCCTGTTTCCCCGAAAATAAGACAGTGTCTTATATTAATTTTTTCTCCCAAAGTTGCAGTAGGTCTTATTTTCAGGGGATGTCTTATCTTTCCATGCACTAGGTCTTATTTTCGGAGGATGTCTTATTTTCGGGGAAACACAGTAGTACTTACTTTCTGTGGTTCATAAAACTATGTTTTAAAAGAAAGTGCTTGTAGGGCTTAAGATTTAACAGGAGAGGGAATATTCACATTAAATATTTGAACAACACTTGCATTTGCAAGTAGAAACCTCTACAATGAGTCTATAACAACTGCGTATTACTCTCACCCTTTAAGGACAGTTGGCACAATACAACTGATGCTCTCTCCCCATCAAAAATATTTCTTAAAAATGTCTGATTGTCCTAATATCATACACTAGAGTCGCGTTGCACAAAATTCGTGCAAGGGACTGAGCCCTTGCAGCCACGGTGGCTTGCCTCGGCCCTCGCAGCCCTGGCTTCATCCAGAAGGTTGTCTGGAAGGACGTCCAGAAGACCTTTCAGCTGTCCAGTCTAATTAGCATATTACACTTTTATTAGTACAGATGAATAGTCCTCAATGTGAAAGCTTTTATGGATTCTCAAGACATAAAAATCTCTGCCAAATTGTTCAGTCTCTTGTTAGTCAATACCTCACAGCACATCTTATCGATGCTAAGACAGAAACACAATTGAACTTGCTAACTGCTGACTTCATCATCACTTCCCTTTCTAACTCATCCTTCTATTTAATACTTCTTTTCTTTTAAGACACGCAGGGGAAAAAAGCTACTTTACTTCTAGGAGAACTGCAAAGAGTATTACCTTTTATTTTACCCAAGGAGAGCTGGCCGTGTCAGAAATAAGACTAAAAACCTTTCTCTTAGCTAGAAGCACTTATTCCTCTTTAGTCAGTAATGAACTCTCACTATTTTCTTAGTAAAAACTTTCCCATATTTATTTAGTAATTAAGCCATGCTAAGTGCCATGCACAAATTTCTGTAGTTCATGGCCACTCTAAAACACCAAGCAACAAATAGGTGGGGAAAAGCATGTTTTTCTACTTATTTAGAAAATGAAGACTACTTTGACTGAAATAAATCTTAAGAGATTAGGCTCTCCTATATATCATGTAAAGAAATAATTTACAACTGCTTTCTCAATAACCTTACCTCTGAGGAGAGTTCATTTTCATTAACATCAGTCTCTTCGGGATTTTCTTCAAAGTCTGTCATCTCAACATCATCTTCCATGAATTCTGCATTAACTGAGATGCATAAAATACCCAAACATAGCCAAAAGCCTTGGAAATGCATACTGGTTATCTGTAAAATTAAAAGTTATTTGTGAAAATAAAACTAAGTTCTAAAAAAAATATGTGTAAGTAACTTACAAAAAAATCACTTCTCCTTAATACCTCCTTTATTTCAGTATGGCTTTTAAAACAAATCATTAAGAAAATTACTTAAATTATGTTTTGACCATGTGGAAATATCAACTTTCAATCGCACAAATTCTAGAGCTGCAGGCCTGCCTCTAAAAACAAAGAGCCAGTACCACAAATCTCAAGATACAGATAACAGTGATCACCAAACTAAATAATAAGTGCACCCCGTTTTCTTTCCTAAATGTTCAAGTTGCTTTATTTATTAGAACATGGTATGTGTATAAAAACATACAATTGAAAATCTTATTGTTATAAAGCCAAAATACATTGATAAACACCAAAAATTAAAGAAAAAGACTTTTATCACAATTTAATGTGATAGTCTTTGGCTGAAATCAAATCACAGCTTAAAAACCAAACAAATATGTACACTTCTATTACAAAAACAGTCAGCTGAGTAAAAGAAGCCAGTAATAAAAGACCACAGGGTCTATGTTCCCATTAAAAAGACAGGCAAATCCAGAGAAATGGAAAATAAATTAGTGATTACCTAGTGAAAAGAGAGGAAAGAAAGGGTTAATGGATAGAAATATTTGAAGGAGAAGGAAGGATGCTGAAAATGTTCTAAAACTGAAATATGATAATGATTGCATAACTATTTTAAAATCCATTGACTTTCACACATTAAACTGAAGGTGCAAATAATGCATCAATAAAGCTGTTTCTAAAAAAGAATCATTAGGCTATACAAAGCTTTTTCTCAACTGATTAGGACCATTGCTATTGAGATCAAAAGGTTACATGAATGTGTGGGCTAGCTTGCCTCGGTTTCTTCTGAAGATCATTGGCTCTAACTTTAAAGTTGAAAACCATGAAAACATGCTTTTTAAATCAACTCGGATCTACCATATTATGAACATAATCTATTAAAAAGCATGTTAATGACACCATCTTTATGTTCAAAGACAATAAAAAATGATGCATGCTCTCATTCGTTAGAAGAGTTTGAGCTCTCTGAATCCTAGGAAGGAAGTGTAGCCAGGACCGGTTTGGCTCAGTGGATAGAGCGTCGGCCTGCAGACTGAAAGGTCCCAGGTTCCATTCCGGTCAAGGGCATGTATGTTGGTTGCGGGCACATCCCCAGTAGGGGGTGTGCAAGAGGCAGCTGGTCAATGTTTCTCTCTCATGGATGTTTCTAACTCTCTATCCCTCTCTCTTCCTCTCAGTGAAAAATCAATAAAGTATATTAAAAAAAGAAGAAGAAGAAGAAGAAGAAGAAGAAGAAGAAGAAGAAGAAGAAGAAGAAGAAGAAGAAGAAGAAGAAGGAAGTGTAACTGGGATAGGAAGTAAACGAAGGAGGGCAGTTTGACTCAACAACAAGAAATTTTATTTTTTTAAATTTTCACTTACTGGCACAGAAATGAGTCTATTTGCAAATTGCTTATTAATTGTTAATAACCTTAAAAGCTTCATTGTTCTAAAAATTTAAGAACCTCTCATGATTTATACAATGTAAAGGTGTTTAGCTTGACTATCAATAACATTTGAGTAAAACAGAAATGCATAAATTAATAATAGCAGTAATAATGAACATTAAAATCACTTTAGACCCATATTTTCTTCAAAATGAACACATACTTTAGGTTCTTAATTATTAATTTGTTGGGGATAAAAATGTCCTAAGTGCTTTGTATGAGCTCTGGTGTACTGGCCCACCATGGAAGAATTAATGTGAAGCCCAGGAAATAAACAGGACAGACATCACTTCTAATCTACAAACTGGAATCAGAAAGATTTAAAAAACTGGTCAAAGTCACATGATTAGAAACCATCCAGAAACATTACATCAACGTGCCATGCTATCTCTTATTTTAATTTTACCCACTGCATTATTATGTTTACTGATAAAGCAATGGGAAGAAATCACAAAAATGTTAACAGCATGCATTTTCAAACCTCCTAGAAATTTCCAAAATTTAGATTACTAATAGTATTAAACTATGAAGATTTTTACTCAGAAATAGCCATATCTTCCTTACTATACAAGTGAAGTACTTAAGAATAAACTACTAGTGGTCACAAACTGTCCTATAGATAATGCAGTTCTGTAACAGTCGCCATTAAGAAAATGATATATTCCAAGGTTGTTGTTGCTATTTATTCTTTTTTTTTAAAGTAGTAAAAATATAGACCTAATTGTTTCTGCTTAATTCTTCAGTGTTCTATCATTATTCAATGATACACCAGCTGACAACTGAGAATTACATCATGAAGTTCAGTCTATTACTTTAAAATTACACTATGTGGTGAACAAGCCATCAAGCACCAAACAAAACTGTGAGGTTTGTCACACATTAGTTTTTAAATGAATAAGTAAGATATTACTGGGCCTGGAGCCTTAAAGTAACTAATCTGTGCAGTTTAAATTTTTTTTAATTGTGGTAGAATACACATAACATACAAGTTATAATTTAAACCAATTTTAACTGTTCAGTCGAGTAGTGTTAAGTATATTCACACTGTTATATAACTAATCTGCTGAACTCTTTCCATCTTGCAAAACTAAAACCATATGCATCAAAGAATTCCGATATTCCTCCATCTCCTAAGTCCCTGGCAACTACAATTCCTTTATTAGTTCTAACAAGTATTGTGTGTGTGTGTGTGTGTGTGTGTGTGTGTGTGTGTAATCTTTAGGTTTTTCTACTTATAAGATCATGGTACCTGTTAATAGAGATAATTTTACTTCTTCCTTTTCAATTTGGAGGTCTTATTATTTTTTGTCTACTTGATCTGGCTAGGACTTCCAATATAGGTATCCCATTTTCAAAGAGTGGGGGGTACCCTTTGCTTTATATCAGTTTGACCTGTGAAAGTTTTTGTAGGAAAAAAATCTACTTTCAGATAGTGGGGGAAACATATACTGTGTTGAATAGAAGTGACAAAAGCCAGCATCCTTATTTTGTTCTATATCTTAGAGGAAAAGTTCTCAGTCTTTACCATTAAGTATGATGTTAGCTTTTCATACATGGCCTTTATTATTGTGAGATAGTGTGTGGGGTTTTTTTTGTTCATATTTGTTATATATATATATATATATATATATATATATATATATATATATTACCCTAATATGCAAATAGACTGAATAGCAGAACAACCAAACAACCAGTCACTATGACATGCACCAACCACCAGGGGATGCATGCAGAACATTGTGGGCATTGGCTGTGGCAGGATGGTGGAGCAGGTGAGCAGGGGCACCAGACCAAGGTGGTGCAGCAGTCGTTATCACGGGGGCAAGCCTCTGGTGGTTAATGAAAATTCTTTGCTCCCACACGCCATGGTCCATCATGCACTCACTCTGGGCACTGTCAGAGGGTGTGAATGGGGCTAGCGCCCTCAATGTGTGGGATTGGTGGCAGTGGGAGCAGGGCTGCTGGCAGACAGGGGACTGGGGGCCATAGTGAGAGGGTTTGGGTGGGGGCACAGAGGATGGGCTGACACCCGCCCCTGTGCTCACCACAGCTTTGCAGCCCCCAGTTCCTTTCAAGGTACACATTGGGCTCCTAGTTTTTTATAAAAGGGTGCTGAATCTTGTCAAATCCTTTTTCTGCATGAATTGATAATCATGTGGGTTTTTTGTCTTCATTCTGGTAATGTAGTATCTTATGTTGATTGATTTTCATATGTCGAACCATCCTTACATTCAAAGAATAAATCCCAGGAAGACACTGGTCATTTTAATTGTGCACATGGAATATGTTTCTCTTGAAATTATCATGTTTTCTTTCATTACAAAATTCGCCATTATTAACCTGTACACTACTAATCACAATGGGACGAGCAGGGCAGATGCTTACCTCTAGCTATGGGAGGCCCTCGAGAAAAGCTGGTGGGTTAGGAGGGGTCTGTGACAAAAGAAACAGGAGAAAGTGGTGTTGACTTAAGACAGTTGTCATTCACCAGAAAGAGACCAAAAGCACACAGCAAACAACTGAGTGCAAACCAAACAGCATCGCCAGGACCATCATAGGCTCCGGACTACCACAGGCTGGGACTACGGCAGGCTGGGACCATCACAGGATGGAATTACCACAGGCTGGGACCATCATAGGCTGGACTATCTCAGCCTGGGACTGTCAGGCTGGGACTACCGAAAGATGAGGCGATCATCCCTGCTCTGACAAGGAAGGGATGTATGTCTAAATGAAACTCTGGGAGGATCTAAGAAAAGTCTGGAGAACCTGGAAGCAGTTACGCTCTGCCCCCTCCTTCACACCCCCCCCTCCAATTCCCATTCTAAACACAGGGAAACTCAGGGGAGTTTCCAACCATCTGCGTAAAACATGGGGTCCATGTTGGCAGCTTTGAATCTTAAAAGTGACTCCACGGAGCAAATGTAATGCTCTTTGAATGAATACCACAGGTCTAAGAAGAGTCATGAGGCAGATCTTGAAAAAACTTGCACTACACCAGTAAAATATGTCTGGTTTATGCTGCTGGACTAAAATAGTGACTTGTGTTAGACAAGATCAAGATGATAGATGGCTGTTTGGGAATGTGACGCTGAGATGGGTTTTCCTCTTCACCAAGAATAGCTTCCAGGCAGTTTTCCCCCTTATAAAATCAACAACAGGCGAGCGACAGGAATGTATTTGCATTAATGTTCATAGAAGGTATTGGTCTGAGGTTTTCTTACAGAGTCTCTGTCTGGTTTTGATATCAGGGTAATGCTGCCTCATCAAATGAGTCTAGAATTATTCCCTCCTCTTAAATATTTTAAAAGAGTTAGAGAAAGATATTATCCTTTCTTTCAATAAATTTGGGATCCATTTTTCTTTCTGCTGTTATTAGGTGGAGTGTTCTTTATGAGTCCTAATATATCCAAATAGTTTATAGTACTAGATGTATTGGATAATAATGTGG